AAAAAAAAAAAATCACTTTGAACTAATTTACTTTATATGTATAATGCATTTTTTTTCCGGTGAAACATTTTTTATGACGGTGTTAAAACACTTTAATAGCAAAATAAAAAACTAAAAAAAAAGTATTTTAAAAATTTGATCAAGTTTTCGGAATTTATAATAAAATGATAAAATATAAGTTGATTTACTTTTTTTTTCTTGTGTAAATTTTTTTTTCCAAAAAAATATTATTAAAATTTTTTTTTTAAACATACACTTTTCAAAAGCCAGGGGCCTTATTTAATCTTCTCCTCTTTTTGTACATAAAATTTTTTCCCTTTTTTTTTATTTTTATTATTTTCTTATATTTCTTTAGTAATTTTTTTTTTCTTCTTTATATACGTTTTTGCATGAAAGTTGTTTGCACTCCGTTGTAACCCAAAGGCTTTATTGTATATAAATATGTTTGTACGTACACTTTATTTATTTATCTTTTTCTTTAATATATATATGTGTACATATATATATATATAGATATATCCGAATGTATAGGTATTTTGAAATTTATTTGGTAATTGTTTACGTATTGTTTATTTATACGATTTTGATAATAAAAAAATAAAAGAAAGAAAGAAAAAGACGTCGAAACGTAGAGTGTTAGTTATGCAGGTAAGACACTTAATGAATAACAACGGATATGCTTTGTTGGTTTTATATTAACCACATTAAACTCAGACTTGAACAACAAAAAAACAAAAAAACAAAAATCAACTCAAACAAACAACAATAACAACAAAAAGAGCAGCAACAATAACCAAAAAATGCTAATACACTGCTACTCAGCGAAATCATGCGCTCACTTAAAACAGAGCACAATGGCAAAATCTCTGGCTATCAGTTAATAACATATACCACCATTAGCACATTCATGCATGCATGCATGCATGCATGCATGCATGCCGTCAGCGACAACGCTTGAGTTTCGATTTGAATGTCATTACACTTGAGTTTTAGCTCAAGTCATTCGAAGAAGGGGTGAATTTGCAAGAATTACTCAGACTTGAATTGTAATCGTGTTCTGCCTGCAAAGTTCTAATGTGACAGCTTTTGCTTGTTTTGTTCGATATGATTCATTGTCGTGTGTTTTGCATTCTTTTTTTGTTTTTCTTTGTTGTTTTTGTACATCTTTTGCGCTCTCTTTCATGGAGAGTTCATTATACCTTTCACTATGTAAAAGTAATTAATTCACTTTTTTTTTTTTGTTTTTATTAATTTATATGTGCATTAAATATCTTAGAATTTAATTAAGTTATTGTTGTCCTCCAAATAAAAAGAATGCGAAGAGGAAGTATGTGAAAGTTATTGGTTTTTAATTAAACGGAAATATTTTTAAAGCAATATTTCCAAGTATCATATGTTGTCAACACTTTTTAAGAGACGTGTTTAACTTTTACATTGTTGCCGAAAAAAATACTGAGCCAGTGGTTAGGTAATGCCAAGTTGCGTTTTACAAAAATAGTAATTAAATCATTACAAGCCTAAGCTTCAAAAGCCTATTCTGAATGTAGATACTTGCGGAATGCGTACATATATATCGCATCATAGAAATGCTTAACGGCCTCAAAATAAGAACACTTACACACACATATATATATATATATATATATATATATATATATATATATAAATCCTTTGCTTATGGGTAGCCTAGTAAGATAAGAATCAGGACTATTGGCTCAGCGTTCAAATATCAAGTGCGCTGGAGATTACTATGGTTGTAGCTATAGTGAGTGCTCAGCCGATGAAGGCACAACAGTTACATCGCTTACCCTCATACCTACTAGATTCTGCGGCCACAATATCCTTAGCTCTTTCCTCACTTCTTTCTAACCATCACTGTGCTACTCACATAGGAGATATCTCAAAAGTAATTGGTCCATATTAAAATGAAACGTATGCAAGAAGAAAAGTATAATTCTGACTTTTCACTTTTTTTTATACAAAGTCGCTTTATATGTTCTCGAGTAAATCTTTTCCCGGAAGTGCGTGAAAAAATGAAAGCTGCCTGCTCAATATAATGTGTGTTCAAAATTTGTTTACTATACACTGTTCGGTTTTTTTGAAAGCACCTTTAGAAGCATACGCTGCCCTGATAATAAATAAAAAAAAAATAACGCCTTCAAGAGAAGTCAGGATTTCTTAGCCTATGAAGGCCTAATTCCACGGTTCCAAATAACATACGGGATAAATCGATTACCGCCTCTATAATAAGTTCAAGTGCCGTGGACTTTTGTCGCAAAGCATTTAATATCTCATTTAATGCATCGACGAAGATTTCATTAAGTTTTTCTATTCACGATCCTAGCAAAAATGTTTTTAACACTTTTGTGGAGTCCAATAATAATTTTTTTTTAATAAATTATATTTTTTATATATTCATTTAATAAATAAAGTGACGGACGATATGTGCATATTTTAGAGCTAATTTCAAATTATTTATCTTTATAACTGTACAATTAAATCCAATTTTAATAAAAAATTTCAATTTTATAACCAATTTAAATAATTTTGTTGCAGCCCATTTCTTCTTAAACATAAGTTACATAAGTTGATCTGATATACTTTTTTATAAGAAATTTTAAATATTATTATTCTAATAAAATATTTAATAACAACGGTATATAAACTGAATAATAGTTTAAGTTAGGTAGCTCGTGGATAATCGATTATAGAACAGATCCCTCTAAATAGACTAAAATACCGCCAAATTTTTTAAATTTCAAGATCATAGCTATTACTATCTTAAGTTAATAATTACATTTCAATTAATAGGGCATCTAATGCTAGTTTAATAATGAAATGTATTAGCTTCAATTAATTCATCATAATTTTATATAAATTTAAAATTTCACTTAATAAATCCATCCATGTCCATCTAGAGTGAATACATCCTTTACGTTTTTTGCGATAACTGTTCTGATAAATCTCGTGAAATGCAATTAAACAAGGTTTATATGCAGATAAGAGAAATTAGTAACGAGAATCTGGGAACAATAAAAAAATAATTATTGTTGAAAAGGATTTTACCAAGAGACAGATTCATGGAAATTTTAAACAAAGACCAAAATTTTTACATCCCTGCGAAGGATATCTTTTACGATGTCATACAAACAAAAAGCAAATGATTGTCCGCAAATTTTACTTACTCTATTAACTAAAAGAAGCATCAATTCTCGGTCACTCCCAAATGATCTCTCGCAAGTTCACGGCTTTAAAGAGAAAGAAGAGAATGATTCAAAATCAACATCCAATCTATTTACCACAACTAGGATATATGCTTACGGTTTGTTTGCATAACACAGAGACCTTTCAGCGAAGGGAAAAGAAATAAAGAAAAAGAAACAAAGATTTATTCCGAAGAAATAAAAAAAATGATGTGAACACCTTGACAAACCGCTTATCCTATTGCCTTCGTTTTTCATTCATATTTCATATTGTTTACCTTGCGTACCACTGCTTCTTCACATTCCTACATATATCGGACTTAGGCACTTTGCTGTCTTTCTTTTAAGACATTTCTTAATAAAATATATATTGTGCTTAAGAAATTTACTTAATTTGTATTCTAGAATTAATGGAAAAACAAATGCAATCATGTAAAATGCGTCCGGGAATTATAAAAAACTATAAATTTTAATTTGCATATACACGCGTATTAGCAAAGATAGAAAAAAAACAACAAAAAACAAATCAACCAACAACCAGCTGATGTAAACGAGTTTTTCTAAGACTTTCACTCAACAAATGTTGATGAAAAAAAATAAAATAAATAGTTTATGTATAAATATCATTAAAGAGAGAGAGAGCCATTTAATAAAATAAAACTCAATTTAATGGCAAGCGAGTGAAAGAGAAATTAAATATAAAATAATAAACAAAAAACATAAGAAAAGTTTGACCTTAACAGACGACTGTAATAATGGAAACGTTTACAGTAAAAGCCAGATGTTAAGATAACATTTATATGTAAATTTATGTAACGATTATTATTGTTTTCAGAAAAAGAGACAATTATTGTTATTTTGTATGTTGTCTTCCGTCATATGCGACCGTGAAAATATTTAATCGATTGTTTGTTAGTTTTATTAAAAACATTTACGCAAAAAAACAAAAACCAAAACCAAAACATGTTAACGGCAATTAATCAAACGGGAAAATCATATTGACCTTATGACCAACTTGTGCCAAACACTACCAGTCTAAGTCAGTAGGTCGTATATTAAAATGTTTACTTTGGAAAGTAACTTCATCGGCGCATGCCTTCTTCTTTAGGTTTCTCTTACAATTTACCGTAATGTGAGTGGGCTTATTTTCTAACTATAGCGGATGGCGGCCCTATGGTTTTACAAGTTTAAGTTGTGTCCTTGATCAAGCATCGGAAGAAAAGGCGGAGAAACAGGGAATGGACAGCTAGACGGAAATCGAAGAAGTTAGACAAACACTAAATCAGTAGCAGGCAGAGGTAAATGGCCGGCTGAAAGGAAGTGTAAGAGACTGAACAAACACAAAACTAGATAAACACAACGAACATCTAATTATTAGACCGAAGACTCCTTGGATTAAATCATTAAGTCGCAGGTTTTTCAATCTTCCTCTTAAAAACGGAGAAACTTTTGAATGAGGTATAAGAAGTTTTTCGAATTCAGTTGCGATCTGCATAGCCCATACCATTTGTGGTGTAGGGTATGGTAAGTTTATGTGGATGTATGCAAGATTCAGAAGGAGTTGGAATATACCCACTTTTTATAATATCGATACAGAAAAAATGTTTCTAGAGCTTTCTAGGTTTGTTTGTCTGTCTATCCGTCTATCCATATGTTTAGCCTACAAATCTCAATTTTTAAAGTCCTTACATGAAATAATATAATTCTTTGCGAAGTGAAGTAGGGTAGGATATTTAATGGTCGTCTGTAGCTGACTATAATGGTTAACTTATTTTTAAAAATATTACATGTGATCAAAAGAAAAGGAAGACTAAGAGAAATGTTCTGACGTTACAGCCTATCACTTGTCATAAAGGAGAACAATGGACTTTCTTGTCACAGCTTTCGTGACTTTTTACCATTATCACTTTTGTTATTATAATTTTATACTAATGAAATAAATTCTTAGACTAAAAAAAAAAGACATTGAGCACTAGCATCACACGCTATCGGCTCTAATTTAAATAAATGTACGTTAGATAATAAGCTTAGTAGTATTAATAAAGTAATATATAGAATTGATATTCGATTCTGAAGCTGATTTTAGAGTGTCCAAAGGGTTAGTCGCTCCAAATGCAATATTTCTAGCCAAGGAAAAGTTAAGGCAGTCGCAGAGAATGTGCTTTATAGTTAGAGTTTGTCCACAACTGCAGATTGGGGAGGAAGACTTCTTCAAGATCCATTGGTGAGTTGCAATTGTATGACCA